GATGGACCTTGATGAGGAGTAATGAAATGGTTAACGGAGTGAGTCTTTAAATTGGACGATTCATGAGATAAAACCGTTTCAATTCTTATTTCCTTATTCTAATCACTTCCCCCTTTTGAGGAAGTAGGCTCCACCTACTCCTCAAACCAATGCTTCAAGTAATCTAGCTTTTAAAAAGTTATGTTGAACTGCATTTCCATATGGTTATACACGGCCTTGTTGTTTAGGATCTTTGGGTTAAAAAGGTGTTCGATAAATCCCTTTAGTGAGATTGAGGATTTCATTAACACTTTCCTTTGCAGTTAAGGATCGTCGCAACCCTTTGATTGTTTCTTAAAGAACTGAATACCCTGATTCATAAGCAATGTGAGTTTCATCATTTAGCTGCTTTGATTTGCTTTATTGAGTCTATAGCGCTTGTTAAAGTTCGATCTTGGATTTGTTCATCTCTTCAATAAGTTCAGTTGCCTTGTAGATAAATTCCTTGTGATCCAGAGTTTGTTGATTATCAAGTTGTATGATCCCAATCTCTATGCGTTGAACCATTCTTTCTACAATGAGTTTCTCTCTGGTTTCTAAAACTTCAATTTGATCAAGTAGATATTATGAAGTGGGGCTGCAATGGTCTGCGGGGTTGCAAAAGTGACTGCAACCAAAACCTGACCAACTTTTGAGTGAAGATCTAGGAATTCCTTTTGAGACACAACTAGTTTCTTCTTCTTCTTCTTCTTCTATTTAGGCTTAGAGGTTGAATGTTGTGATCCGTTGGACTCTTCGTCATCAAGTACCATGATAGAACCATTGAACGTTGACTTCAATGGAGAACTATCGCTCTAACCCTGACCGAGTATCCTCTACATATTACTCCTGCACCAATCCCGACAAAGATCCGGAAAGATAACGGTACACGCAGAACCCACTCCGCAAGATGCGTCCCTTTGTGGGTTCATCAAGGACTTTTCCGCATGCAGGATAGCATGTATGATCCTTGATAACCCAACCACTAGCATAAAACTAACCCGAGATCTGAACTATCGAAACTCACTCACAATTACAAAGTGATACATATTCCCATCATCCATCTATTAGCAATAGAAGATGACATACCTGAAACATCTGGAGGAATACTGATCACCTTCTCCAGAGATACTTAGACCATCCTAAGAACACGGTACAAAACTCTCTCCAGACCCGATGACAAGAACTAACAATAGGTTTCTCCTTCCTGAAGGATTCTAAGAATCTACAGACCTTGGGTTTTAGATGAATCCCTAACTGTTCTCCGACGAATCTGGCCTGAAAGGTCCCGAGACAACGGTCAAATGCTCCCAAATCCCTTCCTTGGCTGAACGGAAGACCACCAAGGTCCATTCCCAAACTCCACAAGTAATCTCCGATGAGATGAACTTCCGCGATCGTGCATCACCTGGTTCAGGCTCTGCTCCTGAGTCGGAACCAGAATATGAGTTTCATTCTTGGGTGCTTAACACCATACCAAGCTGACATTCCAAAGATTCAAATATACCCAAAAATCCTTATCACCTTTTGTTGACATGACCAACCCCGCTACACTTATATCAACCTAAACCCTTGGAGCGACAAACTCTCTTGTACACTTTCCCATACGTACTGCACTGACTCAGACCCTGCTGGCCTTTCACCCGATGATCAGAAGTCATGGGTCTCTTCCCGAGACCCTTTACTATATGTACCTGGCATGAACCTCTCTTCTCAAAGTGCTCCAAATAGATCTCGCATCTGCAACATCTTAGAACTCATATCCTTCAAGGGCTGACACCCTATCATACTCACTAGTTCACTTGCCCATGGATAAGCTTCAACAACTGGAACATCCTCTATCCCCAAACTGGGTCACAAACTCTTCCTTGAAGCTTCTCAGATTCTCCAAGACTCTCACCACTTTGAGTATGGATCCTATGCTTTCAATAGTACGGGTCTAATATTACCTTCAACACCTATCCATACTTTCCTCAGCAATCCTCCAAGTCACTTCTTTAAAGTGGTACACCCAAGTCTCATTAAGCCTTGCCACTAACCCACTAAATCATATCATGGGCTTTCCTAGGTTCTCGAACTCACCCAGTCCTCAACTGTTGAAAGATTCCCAGTAATGTCAACTAGCTACCTCATGAATATAGCTAGTTCACATTACTAAGAGTCCCACAAAGCACAAAATAAGCATCATTCAGACAATGGAAAATCTAACCATCATATTCCAATCAACCCGTTTTATCCTCTATTCAGGAATCTATTCATGCAATTCAAGGCTCATACAATCAGGCATAACCAAAACAGGCTATCCTATCACTGACTGATCAGTATTATCATGCAGCTCATTAAGCACATACAGCAGGCATATAAGGCATCTTCCTAAATCGTTAGCCCTAATCTAGCATGCAGTTCTCATACACATACAGTAGGCATATAACGCATCCTTCTTAGATCCTTAGCACTAATCTAGCGTTCAATTCTCATAATCATATCATATCATAACATGTATGGGTATCTTGGGAAAAACTTACTTGAGCTCGGTTGATTGCACGCATCACACACTTTGTTCCTTTCAAAGTTCTTTTCTCTTTTCAAATTCTTTTCAAACTCCTTTTTAATAAATGATTTTTCATTTGATAATTTTCATACCAAGTCCTTAGTTTGAGTCCAGACACACTCAAGAGTGTTCCCAAATCCCTCAAACCAAGGCTCTGATACCAACTTGTAATATCCCAAAAATGCAGGCCTAAAATTTCATTTTTAAATACGTTATTATAAAACCAACAGTATAATAAAACATCCATAATATCATGTCATGTCTAGATCAAAGTAGAAATAATCAAAATATGTTGTCATAAAACAATATCAGAGTGTAATTCCAAAGATCTCATGTGTGGAAAACCATAGTGTGATGCGCTACGATCGAGACGACTATTTTCCTTTGGAAACTAAGTACCTGAAACCAAAACTGAAAATCGTAAGCACGAAGCTTAGTGAGTTCCCCCATCATACCACATACCATACAATCACATAGCATACATACTGCCGGGCAATTCTGGGGTGCCCGACCTACCCTGTCCGGCCATTCTGGGGTGCCGACCTACCCGTGTAAAGTCGTTCTGGGTGCTGACCTAGCCGTGTCAAGCCATTCTGGGGCACTGACCTATCCGTCTTTCCTAACAACCGAACTTTAGGGACTATTTCACCCCCTACTACTACTGCCACACATATCATAACATAATCATATTGTCAGGAATATATGGGGTGCCTGACCTACCCTTCGGTCCTAACAACCGAACTTGAGGACTATTCCCCTCCTACTACCACTGTCACATATAACATATCATGCTAACACATAAACATACCAGGTAGTAGCAAACCAGACAATTATCACAAAGATAATCATCTCAATTATAATCAACTACTAGTGGGTCGGCCTTGGTACCTTAAACCCACTTCTACTGGAAGGTAACTCACCTCACACTGTTGAAGTCCCTTAGACCCAACCCCAGTTGTTAGATGATAGGTTCCCAAACTGTCAACATCAAAACAACACCCAATTAATAATTATGTTCCAACAAATGTTCATAAGTCCATGTTAGGGTAAGAGACTGCTTTACCCCTATCTTGGCTTGATTCAAGCCCAAGGCCCAATCCTAAGGCCCAAAAGTTAACTATGGGTCAAAGCTCGATACATGGCCCAATTTTCCAAATTGGGCCCAAACCTTTATAAGGTCTCACCATAAGGCCCAACCATTTAGTCCAGTCAAACATTCAACATTCTAATGGCCCAATATCACATAATCATAAAGGCCCAAACTATGGCTCATCTATGGCCCAGTTTTCCAAATTGGGCCCAAACCATCACATATGGGCCTTATCCTAAAGCCCATTAAATTATTCAAGTCCATATGATTATTCTTGGATGGCCCATTAATAGCCCAATCATCAAAGACCAATAAAAAGGTCCAACATAAAACCCAAGTGAAATTAGGGTTTCACATGAAATGACATTAGGGTTAAGTGTTTCTCACTTAACCCATTAAGGACTTAATCCATTAAGTCCATCACTCTTCTAAATAAATCATATGGTGTGATTGGGCTTAATACACAATTCCATTCCAATGGCCCAAATGTGGGTCGCGATAAGTCCAAGCCCATATATCCAATATTAGGGTTTTCTAAACCCTAATTAGGGTTTCCAACCCCATCTTAGCCCAATAGGCCCAATAGCCAAGTATTTTGATCAATTAAGGCTCATTAGGCCCATTAGTCACATGTTTGAGCTTTTAGGCCATTTAAGGCTTCATTAGGCCCATTAAGGTTTCAATAGTCCCATTAGGGTTTTAGTCCCTTATCCAAACATCCAAACGAGCCACAAACCAAACAAGGCACACCGCCACCCGATGCGGCGGCCAGTGGCGGCAGGAGGTGGCAGCCATCACCTCACGGTGGTGGTTAGGGTTTCTTTTCATTATACTTTTTTCTAATTACACCTTACAATGTCTTAACCCAAAAATAAACACACACTAACTAACATACATACACACCTAAGCTGGCACATGGTTGCAGCCAGCACCTCACCTCACGGTGGTGTTGGTGGCTGTTCTCAGTTTTCCGGCTATATAACGCTATACACACAAGTACACCAAAACAGAGACGCACCCATTAGCACGTCTATTTGCAAGCATCCAGCTCGAAATGGCGGCAGCAGCGGTCAACCGAGGTGATTTCTAATGACAGCCACCACCTCACGATGGTGGCGGTGGTCTCTCTTGTTCTTCAGCCAAGCAGCACGTCGACACCGGAGGAATACGACGCGAAACAGTAGCCATCAGCCACCGACTGGGCGGCTGTCAACGTTGGAGCTAAAGGGAACGGTGGCAGAGGCAACGGGTGGCAGAATGGCGGTGTTTATTGATGAGGCAGCAAGCGGAGACGAGAGTTGTAGAAATCGGTGATGCCATCGGCGGTTGAGCAGAGCCTATATGGTGATGGTGACGACAGCATCACATGTCGGTTGGTTCCTGGCAGTGCATAGCAGCAACCTCCTACGTAGAGGGGTTGGACTCGCACGACTTGGCTTCAGTGGTGGCGAAGAGGAAGGAAGACGACTACTGAGGATCTCTCATGGCGGCTGGAGAAGTTTCCTTCAGTTTAGGGTTTAATGGTCGGGTGTTAGGGTTATATACCCTGGTGAAACAAAACATCACGCCATAATGACATAAACAGCCCCTCCTAATTATTACCAAGTAGCCCCTGTCTTCAATATTACTTACAAATTAAGTTTGGATTTTACACTTTAATCCCCACCTTCTAAAATTATGACAGTTAACTCCTTGAGGCCGACACCTTGCTATATAATTATAAATTTTAGGGCTACTATTCATTCATTAATTTGTTTATTTATTTAATAAATAAATAGGGATTTACATTTTCGCATCCCTCTCATGAAAAGTATGTTTAGCGATTTTTTGGGAGTAGTAATGGTGACATCAATCTCCTTTAGCTCTTTGTCTAGGACATATTCTTTGTCCTCATAACGAATAGCCATTCGGATGTTTCGAATCCAATCATTGAAGTTAAGACCATCGAAAATGACCCTCCCACATAGTTTCATGAGGGAGAAAGAGCCTGAAGGGATTGGGGTGGAAGCATTCTTTGGGATTGACATCTAAAAATGAAGATGAACAAAGTTTAGGTTAGATGACAATCCTTAATATTACACCCAAATGAGATATTAAGGCTAGGATCCAACACAATATTCTACAATTGTGAAGAGGGATGTCGTAATCCAATTGTAAAATATTTGAGGGTAGGCAAATGACAATTTACCAATTTCCACCATGAAAAACGAAATAGATTATTAAGTTGTAATTGGATTTGAAATTCCTGGATCCTTTGAGATTCATTAAACTTTTCAACGGCATGTTTAAATCTCGATTTTGTCCTTCAAGTTTGTGACTGGGATGCCGAGGATCACAAACAAGGTGTGAATAACCATACAAATTAGTTTGGTACCCCCGATGTTACAAACCACCTAATCAATGTGCCGGTTAACCACACGTGCTCCATTGATCTATGATTAACACTAAGCTACCCTTTGCCACACATTGTCTGTCCCATATTAGTATGTCGGTTAACCACACACGCTCCAATAACGACTTAACAAGGTGCAAAGTGTAATTTCATGGATTAGCACCATTTTCACATTTTTCCTAAAGTAACTATGATTGGGAATTTAATAAAAGTTTAGTTACTTTATACTTATCATTATACTTTTAATGAGGGAGAATTAGTGTCCTATCCCACCCGTTTGGCTAATGACCTCCACCAGTCAAGGAAGCGGTGGGTCAGAGTGGACACCCATTAAACCACCATTTTATAGGTAGTAACCTTATACCCCCCCCCCCCTTATAGACCGGCTTCGTGGATAAGTCCTACTAACGGTAAAACTGACTTGTCTATATATATATATATATATATATATATATATATATATATATATATATATATATATATATATATTAAACTTATAATATTATAAAGTATAAGGGTTGAATTTTAACTTTTCAAACTCTAAGGTTTAGTTAAAGTTTCATTAGTGAGAATTTACAAATTCCAAAACTTGAGGGCAAGTTTTGAAATTTGTCAAAACTCTTCATATTCATAACTTATGAGTTTAATTGGATTTTAATGGATGAGACCTTTCATTTCTCATTACTTGAGGACAAGTTATTGAGGTCATTAAAATTCATTTAGATCAATTCATCAACAACTAAAATTGCCATATAATTCAAGATTGATCTAGCTAAACTCATAAACAAGATAATGCAAGTCAATAATTTGCAAGCAACTTTGTTTATCACATAAAACAAAATTTTCTCAAAACTTTGACAATTATCTTGTGGTTGGATGAGTAAAAGCACTATCAAATCATAAAAAACATTTTTAATGATCCAAAATAGTTTGTGGTAGTGTTCCCAATCCAATCGAGGCCAAGAAACCCGAAATTCTACAAACAGAGCCTGCAACTCGTCGAGTTGCTCTATTACTTTGTGGACTCGTCGAGTCAGTTCATGGACTCGGCGAGTTCCCCAGTTAGAGGCCAGATTATCGACTTTTTCAGCTTTGAAAAATTAGCAAGCATCAAATATAATAGAAAACAATCCTAGGCTTTGATACCACTATCGGGTTTTGAACACTATAACACTCCTATGGTGCACATGCAACGCTAAATGATTTGGATCTATGTTTTCTCTAATTATACATGCATTTTCAATTTTTCCAAAGCATTCTCCCTAACTAGCATATAATTGTCAAATAAACAATACAACTAGTTAGATGACATACCTCTTAGAAGGACTTGTAGTTCTTGACCATTGAAGCTTGAGCACCCTAAATGTGATGCATCTAATGGTTCACAAACACCAATATGCAAGAGGAGGCTTTAGAGAATAAGTTACTTAGCTCAAAAGATGGTGCAACCGATTTTGGTTAATGAGGGGTCTTTATTGTGGAAAATGCTAGGGTTACACTTTGTAAACCCTAATGCTCCATGACTTTTTCACATTCTTATGCTCCATGGGTTAAACCTCCATGGATTATCTTATTGGTTTGGCCCATCTAAATAATCATGGATCATTGGCCCACACTATAAGAATCATTGATTTATATAATCAATCCCCATATATTTAATTAATCTCTTTTGACCACAAAATTAATTCCAAATTAATTCTTGATCAAAACTAATTAAATAATATGATTTCATATTAATATATTATACTTGTAATATATTAATAAATCATAAATAACCTTATTCTCAAAAGTCCATCCTATCAAATTGCACTGGTGAAGGCAACCCAAAAGGAACATGCTACAATCGGGTCAAGTACATTCCAGTTATAGTTATGGGCTTAGACACTAAATCCAACAAGAAAAACAAGCCAATCATTCCAAGAAACTGGTTCAAGAAACCCACACTACGTACGAGTCTGGGCTTGCAGTTCTTCAGAACACCATCAATGGTTTGAGAAGATCGGTCACCGCAAACCAGAGTGTCGATGAAATTCTCCATCTAACTAAGGAGATTTATCAACTTTTGTTCAACTCCAAAATCCCCAACAACCAACAAGTCTAAGATGAGATGAAAAATCAATTCAATGAAACCTTTCAAAAGATAGAAGGTTTGAAACAATGGTTTGAGGAGTAGGTGGAGTTTGTGTCCTCAAAAGGGGGGAGTGAGGGCAATCCAACTCAAGATCAATATAAACAGAGAACCAAAAACCTCCAAGTCTCCATCTGTTCATAAAATCCCCCTAGAGACGAACCTCCTACCGTGAGCTCCACCGAGTTCCAACTCCTCGATCTTCACCACAGAAATCACCTCAAAATTATCCTCACCAATATCAATAGTTTCCAGAAAAATCTCTATCAAAATCAACTTCTGATCACTCCAAACCCATTGAAGAAGAAGAGTTAAATTCTTCTGATCACTCAGACGACTCTTTGGCAACAACTCAAAGAAAAAGAGACTGGAGAGTAGCGAAGTTTGCTGATGAGATCTGGAAAGAACAAGGGTTCAACACCTCCTTCGATGAAACTTTGATAAATTCTTGGGTGAATCCAACTAGTAGACTTCTAGATGTTGACTATATTCCTCATCTTAATTATGTACAGCCAACATCTGATGGCTACTGGGACATCCCCATCTCTCCTAACTCAAAATACTTCCTTGTTTTTAAGCCTCTTGATCTCAATATCCCTGATGAACGAAGATTACCTATGGAGTTTGAACACTTGAACCTCTTCCATGCCAAACAAGGATCAAAATTCGAGAACATCTGTTCCAACGATAGACCAAATGGGGTAAAGAACTATAAAGCAAGGAAATTCATGAAAAGTATTTTTTTTTCAATATACCCTTACTCGAAGGAACAGTGAGTACATTCAATCTCAGGATGATTTTGTCTGTACGAACCCTGAGGAAATATTCTTGATAGCTCAGGTAGTTCAGCTTAAGGCTGAAAAATACCCCAAAATGAAGATTGCCTTCGAAAGGGCATGTAAATTCCTCAAGGCTCTGGTTTTGTGACATTGGAAAAATTCACGTAGAAATTCATCCAGTGCTCTCCAACAAATTCAACTTTCCTCCATTCGAGCCTGTTCCAGATTATACTGAAGGTTTTCAAGACATGTCACTAGGAGCAACTAGTTACCCCAAGCTAGGGATTGTTTACAAGAAAGCAATTGATGGGCCTAAGTTCTTCATCCCCGTATCTATAATTCATCGTTTGACAAAGAAACAATTGGATGTCACCTTGGCTTCGGTACAAAGATCGAAGCATACTACTGATGTAGTCAAATTTGAAATCTCAAGTAGACTTATTGCTACCATAAAGAAGAGTGGAATCGAAGATTGTGTTTCTGTTTGTTGGTGAACCGAAGACTTGAAGATAGAACTGCAGAGAAGGATGATAAATGACGATATTTTGTTACTTTATCTGAGATTGCTTGTATTCTTAGTATTTCCCGATGAACCTTGCATGGTCACCTAAGTCAATAGTTTAATGTTTGTTTATTACTAAATGTAATTTTCTGGGACACTATAAATAAAGGATCCCACTTCATGTTCAAACACGACTTTTCTGAACTATTATTTCAATACAAAAGATCGTTCATTTCTATCTATTATCTTCTGATAACCCGAGTTCGTCTTCGCTTTAAGTTGATCACATTTACTAACTTATTTTTGAATGCAAACCTCGTTATGAATCAATTTAGTGTCTACTTTATATAACTTGTTGCTATTTATTTCCTTTATATTTCCACAATCTAACTTCTAACTTATTATTATTGTTGAGCTAACAAGATCCTTGAGATTAACTTCTATTCCGCATTATATTATCTTGTGACTAACGTTTGTTCAAGTTTTTCTCTCAACATGTTTGATTATATTATGGTATAAATCCAACAGTACAAGCCTTAGCTATTAAATTTATTTTTTTTCCTAATCTTTCCCAACGGTGATTAGTGACGGAATTTTCCTTGTTGTCACAGTGGAGACCCCATTTGGAAGCCCCATATTCGAGCTTGTAGATAGGAGGCAAATATCGGCTTGCGCTTCAAGGTAGGGAAGTCATCTACTATGCCTACTCCTACCCCTGAACACTTCAGTCAAGCAGGCTATCTACTTCCTTGTACCACAGACCCCCTTCCCCCATCACTCATATCACATAGGAGCGATGGATATTGAGCTCTTTCATTTAAGGATGGCCCTGAGGCAACTCACAGAGCGGGTACAGTATCTTAAACAGGAAAGGGATGTGACGGAGATGAGGACCCTTGCATGAGTCGAGGGATGAGGATTAGTTTCATCATCAGGTGTTGGAGGAGGTGATCAGTCATACGGACAGGTTGTAGCTCTTTTGATCATGTGCTGCAGATATTAGTTTCTCTTTTACTCCTTAGATCGATGGGTAGGATGGACACACTTATACTTTTGGGTTAGAGTAGTAGAAAAGCTCACTAAAAGTACTTGTTTATTTTGTAACCTCGGATCTTTTCTTACTCTAACCACCCCTTGTTTTAGTAATCTTGTTGTATGATATTATAATGCATACGGTACTATTATAGTTATATGAAATCCATATTATTATGTTATTACTCTACTACCTCAATTAACACTAACACGAACACACCACGACATAACCATATCCACGAATACACCAACTTACAAAATCGATCGAATAACTCACGTCTCAACACCAACTTTAGGAGTTTAGAAATGGAACCCCCAAGAATTACTAGATCTAGCCATGGTCTTCCAGTAGAGCAAGATGCCCAGTCTAATCAGAGTGGTCTACCTTTAGTCCGTACGGCCATCGAAGTCATGGTTGATAAAATAATAGTTGATACTCAAACAACACTTGTAGGCAATTTCCATACAAACTATGGGATAGGAGCGGGAGGTGAAAGCTCCCAAGTAAACCATTAAAGTGCTCCAAGGACATGCACCTACAAGGACTTTGAAAATGCAAGCTTTAAACGTTCTATGGGAACGAAGGGGTCATAGGCCTCACGAGATGGATCGAGAAGACTGATTTTGTCTTCAAAAATCAGTTCTTGTGCGGAAGAATGCAAGGTAAAGTTTGTTGCATGAACTTTCACGGATACGGCCATGTTTTAATGGAATAGCCACATCAAGATCTTGGGCCTCGCCAACACTAATGCTTTATCTTGGTAGCGACTGAAGCAAATGCTCATCGAGGAATATTTTCCTCGAGAGGAAATGCAAAAATTGGAGTAAGAGTTATGGAACCTAACAATCAGCAATGCCAACATCTCAACCTACATCAATAGGTTCAACGGTTTCGTAACCCTTTGTCCAAACTTCATGAGTCCCGAGTACAAGATGGTGGAAAGGTACATATGGGAATTAGTTCAAACCATTCAAGGGTTGGTCACATCATCTCGACCGACAACCTATGATAGTGTAAAGAGGTTAGCATATAGCTTAACCAAGCAAGAGATAAGACGAGGCACTTTGGTCCAGAAAACTGACATCCCAAAGTCGAAGGAAAACAAATGTAAATTCAGAAGCGGATTCAAGGGTACCTCCAAACCAACTCCAAGCAAGAGATAGGAAATTGTAAGGGCATACATCGCTAGTCCTGTCCCAACTCCGGCAGCAACCCCCACAGCGCAAGGACAGTATGTGGGTAAACACCTGAAATGAAACTCATGCCACTTCCACCACTCCGACAATTGCATGCATTGTGCCACGTGCAATAGCAGAGGGCATACCATAATATATTGTTGATAGCTTGTGACTGCTCCTACCGCCACAACCAACCCATGGATGGTCTGCTTGCCATACAATCGAGCCTGTTTTGAGTGTGGTATTATTGGGCACGTCAAGAGTACCTGTTTGAAGCTAAGTAACGATGGAGGGAACTCCCAGGGAAGAGCGTTTGTGATTCGCATGAGGAATTTCATCCAGGACACTACCAATGTGATATGTACATTCCCTGTTAACAATTTATACGCACTTAGAATCTTTGATTCTGATGCTAAAAGAAGTGTTATTACACCTAGTTTCATAGAACTTTTAAACCATAAGTCTAGGGAATTACATAATCCTTATGTAGTGGAAATAGCCAACGTAGAATCTGGTAGTACTCAGGAAATACTAGAAAAACGTCTTCTAACTCTCAACAACCACACCTTTCACGTCAACCTCGTGCATATGATCATCGGTAGTTTCAGTTTCGTAATTTGCATGGATTGGTTATCTGTACACAATGCCAAGTTCTTATGGTACGACAAATTAGTACATTACCTTTTCCCAATGGGGAATCCATAGTGATCTACGGAGATAAGCCTAGAAAAAGGATTAGAATCATCTCTCGCATGAAGGCGCAGAAATACATTCACAAGAAATATGACGCTTTCTTGGCGCATATCGTAAATAATAAAATCAAGAAGAAGGAATTCAAAGACATACCCCCAAGTATGTGATTTTCTCGACGTATTTCCAAATGACTTACTTGGACTACCACCAATTCGCGAGGTCGAATTCTAAATTGACCTAGTTCCAGAAGCAGCGCCAGTGGCAAAATTGCCTTACTGATTAGCCCCTTTGGAAATGAAAGGGTTGTTTGGACAACTTCAAGAGCTTTTGGATAAGGGCTTTATAAGACGAAGCTTCTCACATTGTGGAGCCCTGATGATATACCTCAAAAAGGATGGAACCTTGAGAATGTGCATCGATTATCAAGAATTGAATAAATTGACGATCAAGAATATATATTCACTCCCAAGGAGCAACAATCTATTTGATCAACTTCTAGGATCCAGATTCTACTCAGATATTGATTTAAGGTCATGGTACCATCAAATTCGAGTACAGGAGGAAGACATTAGGACTCACTACGGTCACTATGAGTTTCTCGTTATGTCGTTCGGCCTAACCAACACTCCAGCAGTCTTGATGGATCTAATGGACCGTGTATGTAAGCCCTACTTGGACAAATTTGTGATTGTATTCATTGATGATATATTGATATACTCACGAACCGTGGAAGAAATCAGCCAACACTTACGCATCATCTTGGAAATACTAAGAACAGAGAAATTGTACGCTAAATCTCAAAATATGAGTTTTTGATTAGAGAAATACATTTTTCAGACATGTAGTCAGCAGCAAGGGCATTCATGTAGACCCTTCCAAGATCAAAGCAATAAAGAATTAGGAAGCACCTATAATGTCAACGGAGGTGCGTCAAGTTCTAGGATTGGAAGGTTATTGTTAGAGAATTATAGAGAATTTCTCAAAAATAGCCAAACCTCTCACAACACTTACACAGAAAAACAAAAAGTTCGAATGGAAAGAACAACAAGAATTTGTGTTTCAAAAATTGAAATAAATGTTGTGTACGCACCAATTCTTTCACTTTCGGAAGGAACCAAAGACAATGTCATCTATTGCAATGCATCATACCATGGCATGGGATGTGTACTTATGCAAAGAGACAAAGTGATCGCTTATGCTTCATGCCAACTTAAGACTTGGAATTGGGAGCTATAATTTTCGCCTTAAAGATCTGGTGGTACTACTTGTATAGCAAAAAGTGTATCATATACACTGACCACAAAATCCTTCACCACATCTTTTACCAAAAGAACTCAACATGACACAATGGAGACGGATAGAACTGTTAAATGACTAGGAGTGTGAAATTCGATACCACCTTGGCAAATCTAACGTAATAGTTCATGCCCCGAAGTAGAAAGGAAGGAGAGTGAAAGCACTCACTCTAAGCATGAAGTTAAACCTTCCTTCCCAAATCCGAGAAGCACAAGTGGAAGCAATTAATGAAGAAAATAAGAAAGATGAATGCTTACAGGTATGGAGAAACAATTCGAGCCCAAGGAAGATGGAACTTTATGTTTCATGGATTGAATATGGGTACCGAAATTTGGCGACATCAGGAGTCTAGTACTAGATGAAGCTCACAGAACAAGATATTCAGTTCACCTAGGATCTGATAAAATGTATCTTGACTTAAAGAAAAGGTATCATTGGCCGAACTTAAGTGGAAATCGCCACCTACGTGAGCAAATGCCTAACCTGCACTAAGGTCAAAGCATAATACCAAAAAACCTTGGGTATACTACAACAACCCGAAATACCCAAGTAGAAATGGGAGCAAGTCGCCATGGACTTCATCATGAAACTACCCAAGACGCCTAGTGGTTACGACACAATTTGGTTAGTAATCGATTGTCTGACTACGTCTGATCGTTTTCTACCCATCAAGGAGACAGACAAAATGGAAAACTTAGACAGGACTTACGTCAAAGAGATAGTCTGGCTACACAGCATATCAACATCTATCATCTCAGACATAGATAGCCGATTCACATCCCGATTCTAGCA